TACACTTACGTCATGACTGACTTGATTCACAAGGCTTTTGCTTATGCAGTGTCGGTTCAAGAAAAGGTTGTCCAAACACAGATTCTAGTTGCGACCATGGCCGAAGCACTGCCTGTGGAGAAGGCCTTGAAGACGGTACGCTCGGCGTTCAATGCGAGGAACTACAAAGATGTGCCGCTCGCTCGAGTTGACTACGGCTCGGACTACATCCTGCACGATGGGAAGGTGAAGGCCGAGGTCATCCCCGACGAGCTGCGCGTCGCCAACCGAGAGGCTTGGTCGGACATGTTCCGTGATGCGGCAACTCAATCATTCATCGTCAAGGACGTGAACTCCGGTGTCGACCTTGCCAAGATGAGTGAACGCACCGATGCGCTGGCTCTCGCCAAGAATGCCATGTCATCGTTGACAGGTGCTGCGGGGGTTCTCAAAGAGGCTCCGGCTGAGGCTTTCGATATCCTCTTCTGCCCGGGGAAACCCGCGGTCAACTATCTGTTTTTCGGCGACTCCTTCAATGCATTGGTCAAAGATGGAGCAAAGACAGATGTTGGCACCATCATCAAGGAGAATAAGCGGACGCTGTTTGGGCACAAGCACGAGGTCTGGTCCGAAATGACATGGGGCAAAGGACTGGCGGAATCTCTTGATGCCGCTGAGCGGGCAATGCTAAAGCTCGCCGAAAGGCCTGAGCCCCGGCCGTACGTCATCGTGATCGCCTGGTCTGGAAATGATGTTGTCGGTCGTAACGGTTACATCGACAACCCCGCCGCCCTAGCGGGCTGGGCCACTGACTCCGAGGCAAAGCGGAAGGCTGCGATGGACATCATCGAAAGGAACGCCCGAGCTGTGATGACTGTCCGAGACCGGCTACGCCATATTGCTTTTCGGGAAGACGTGGTCCAGGTCGTGCTCATCGTACCCCGGGACTTTGAGACGTATGGATTGAGTGAATCTTATAAGATTCAAATGGACGGTCATGCACGTTTGTTGCACGGTTCAGCGGGAATCACCGTCCTCGACCCCCAGACTCTCATATCCAACACGTCCCGGGCAGACCGCATCCACACCGATGACACCGAGCGCAACAGAAAACACTACATCAATTACTATGTGGCCGCCGCGAAGCTCGGGTACTGCATTGGCCAAATCAACCGCTTCGAAGGGGCGATGAATTGGTACCGCCTCGAAAGGGAATACATGAACATTGACACATCTATCCCGATCGTTGGCGCTACACCCCAGGAAACTGGCGGTCCGGCAATTGCAAAGAACCCTGAGGATCCTTTCGACAATGCGGTCCGTGAGAGGGAGTTGGAGGCGATCAACGAAATCGCCGCGCAAGAGCCGAAGCGCGAGGTTTTCCTGGAGACCGAAAAGGAGGCAAACCCCCTCTACCCCCTCGACACCGTCAAGGAGGAAGCAAAGATTTTGCAGATGATGCAGCCCGACATTCACGCGGCGACCGTCAGCGGCCTCAACGATGTGATTGATTGGTCTTCTTCTTCGGATGAGGAGGACCTGATCAGCTTCGACCTACCCCCTGGCTCTCAGCCTAAGGTCAGCCGGCCGAAAGGCCAGGCCGTTGAGGTTGCCGCAGTGGATCCGAACGATATTGGTGAGGACGGCCAAATCAAGCTTATCCTCACTTCCAAACGGAAAAGTCATAACAAAATGACTGCAGCTCTCAGTGCTGCGACACCAAAGGTGAAATCAAAGGCAATGCCAATGCCTGCTGCCTCATCCAGCGATCAGGCGCCCGTGGCTGGGACCAGCAAGACTCAGCCCGGAGAGATCCGTGGCCCGGAGAACATCCCCAAGGCGAAGGCAGTTTCCAAAGCTGCTGCAAAGCCCGGGGAGACCCGTGGCCAGGCTGCTGAACCCAAGAGGGAGTGGATCAAGTGCTCAGGAATCAAGATTCCCCAGATCCAGAACTATGGCAGAAGGACGTTCTTGAGCAAGAAGGTGTCGTATTTGGTTCGCGGACATGCCCACGAACATGCGACGCGATCCATCCCTGAGATCAATCTCAAGGACAACTCCTTCGACTACGCAGCCGTTGCCAAATGGATCCAACGCCGATATGACTGGAACTGCTCCCAATACACTCTTCTTCAGGCCACGTCCACATCGAATCGGTTCGAGGTCTATGTCGAGTACGCGCCGGCCGGACAGCAATGGAACGGGCTCAGTTTCATGCCACTACGCATTCGCGCGTTCACCGGCCACAACGATTGGGTGACCGAGGCCAGCGGCTTTGACAATATTCCTGGAGATCCCATTGCAATGGATGTCAATTACACCATCGAGCACGCAAAGAAGGGTGTGCGACCGGGCTTCTGCAAAGATTTCTCGGACGCACGCCGAAAGGCGCTGCCCAAAATCGCCTACCACACGTGCAACATGCAGAATTTCTTTGACATCATCTACATGGGCATCTTTCCGGGCGGAATGGGAGACCGGCAAACCTCGCGTGGTCACGCCTACCTAACGGTGGTGCCTCCTTGGGACAGGCACGGCCGGAAGGCGGGGGGTGCGCGTGCTGACCGACCCATCAACATCGCCGTCGACGTGGAGATGTTGATCCAATTGGGATGTCGGCTGTACGCACCCGGAGACGGGGAAGCCCTGGTGACGGAGGATTGGATCACGAACAAGGTCCTCATCTACGCCTATGACGCTGAATGTGCAAAGTTTATCTGGTCCAACCGGATGTACGTCAGCGTCAGACGGAATTACCAGGACAGCATCAAGAAGTATCGGGAAGAGACCCAGAAGGGCGTTGTCGGGACCCCAGTGCTGGAATCGTTCATGGCGAACATCGAGAAGGAATGCAAGCTCTACTACAGACAGTGGGCTCCGACAGCGTGCCGCGACTTGACGCGGCCCCACCGCATCGGCAATGTCACGAAAGTCAAGGACGTCTACGACGAGAACCTCCCGAGGGAAGAGCAAGTCGCGCTTGAGTTCGAGACTGCCCGCTACGGCCTCTACAGAAATTGGGCCCGAGCTGTGACGCAGCAGCCCGGGGAAACCCGAGGCCGGAGTGGTTTGTGGCAGGACTTGGATCCCAACAAGAAGAAGTCGACAAACTGGCGCTTCGCGGAGGTCATGCACATCCCTGACGTTGAGTGCCCTCGCTGCAAAATCCTCATCCCGGTTGGCACCATCAACTGTTTCCAGTGTGACCAGTTGATGGAACGCATGCCCGATATCAAGAAGATAGCCAGGGTCGTCCGGTTGCAGGAGATGGCCAACACCTTGGGCGTGCCGCTGTCCATGGACCAGGTTGAGACTCAGATTTTGACGCAGCGAAAGGATGCGCGGGGGGATCGAAGCGCAAGAGGGGGCCTCGGCATCATGAAGGACATTGCCAAGAAAGCAGTTCTTCGCAACAAGGAGTACACCACGCTGTACGAGAGGCTGATCAATGACCCCTTTTACGCCTACACTGCCGCGCGGGGAGACCTGACGCCGTCCGCCCTCGAGTTTATCGAGAAAGTGGCACGATGCATCATTCCGAGTTTCGTGAGAACCAAGGAAATGATCCAAGGAAGCGTTGCTGTGCCGAAATATCACGCACGGCTAACGCTGGTGCCGCCTACCGAGGACGTGCAGGAGGTCGACCCGAAGGACGTCTATGTTGTGCATGGCGGCAGATTTCTGGAACCAGAACAATTTGCTGCACTTTATGGAAGCCTTGACAAGAGCAACCGCTACACCGTGATGGGCTGGACCCGGGATTTCTCGTCTGTGGGAGATCCCGAAATGGTATTGGTTGAGTTGCTCTGCTTCGTCGAAGAGGAGATCCCCAACATCGAGATCCCTGGACGAGCCACCCCGCTCCCTGCAGTTGTCGGTGTGACGCGCAAGCCCATTCCGCAGCTCCGGGAGACCGGTGGCCAATGGCAGGATCGTCAATGGAGCCAGTCGTACTGGGGAAGTTGGGGCCAATCCTGGGACTCGTGGTGGTCTGATGATCAGCGCCCGTGGAAGAGCTCCCGCAATTGGGATTGGCGATGAATGAGCGATCTCTTCAACAATCTTTTCTATCTTCGGCTGACATCCATTTACATTCCAAATTCAATATTCATTATACTTCTCAATCATGTTGGCCGAGGATCAATGTACAGTGCATGACCACGCCTCGCGAGAGCGACGGTCAGTGGAGGCGGAAGACCTTAACTGCCGATCGCTCGAATCCAAGTGCTTGTGTGCTGCAAAAGGACTTCATGCCTATCGGGTTTCTTTGGTTGTTTCATCCCTTTCATTTGTCCTCCTGTTTCACATTCGGGCACGGGGGGTGTAGTTTGCAACGTGATGTATTTATCAACCATGTAAAACCCCAATGCATGAATGTCTCACTTGTGCAGTCTCATCATTACGACTGCATATGGCTCAAGAAAAAGCGCGCTGAGTACAGGGTTCAATTGTGACCTTTCCCGGTTGTTTAACCTGTTCTATAGTAGTTGCTTGTGGTTTTGCAGTGATTAAATTAGCTTGTGGACTTGTTTTGGTTGGCTGGCCGGTTGGTTGGTTGGTTGGTTGGTTGGTTGGTTGGTTGGTTGGTTGGTTGGTTCGTTGGTTCGTTGGTTCGTTGGTTCGTTGGTTCGTTGGTTCGTTGGTTGGTTGGTTGGTTGGTTGGTTCCATTCCAGAAAGATAGATGCACATGTAACACATATGAGAACGCTGCAGAAATATTTGTGCACATATTCAGGCAAGGAAAAACGACCTGCATCCACCGTTTTTGGGGAATGAGCAGAACTGAACAACTCAGCTTCACGCATGTTTTCTCCCGGAGTCAGGGGGGGGAGGTTTACCGTTTATTCACCCTTTGGGGGAGGTAAAAGGTCCTGGATGGAAGCCCTCAATATGGTCCCTTGATTCTGGGAGAGAGTGGGGGAGTGGGGGGGAGGGAGCCCGACTAAGAGCTAATCTGGGCTTCCTCCCCCTCCCCTTTCCCCAGACCCCACCTGTCGCTTCTCCCCGCCTTTGAGCCAAGGCACGGGCGCCTAGACCAGATTGGCCTCGGTGCAGCCCTGGCTGCCTTCGCAAGCTGTGCCTCACTTGCACCGGAGAGAGGCATGGCAGAGCCCAGCGTTCAGATGTGATGCTTGTGTTATTGTTGACCCTTGTGGTTGGCAGGTGTACACGCCCTGAACCAAGGCAAGTTCACTGAGTGCGACATAGCGGGACGCGTGTTTAAAGGGTGGCGTGGCAAAGCTGCTCAAGCCTTTCAGCTGATGTTTCGTGCCGTTGCCACCCGCCTTTGCTAGAGAGCTGGCTTTCAATTTGCTTTGAACCGCTTTGTTTTCGGTTGGCTGGTCAATGAGTGAGTCGGTCAGTCGTTCCAAGAAGGCATGGGCCATTTTTTCTGGCCCAAGGCCAGCAGTGGCAGCGTGCCCTTCTCTTGCTGACAGAGTCTCCAGCGCCTCGTCATTAGGGGCTCCAGGTTTTCCGAAGTCCGGACCCGAGGCCGCAGTGGTGTGTGTGTGTGTGTGTGTGTGTGTGTGTGTGTGTGTGTGTGTGTGTGTGTGTGTGTGTGTGTGTGTGTGTGTGTGTGTGTGTGTGTGTGTGTGTGCGTGTGTGTGTGCGTGTGTGCGTGTGCGTGTGTGTGTGTCTGTGTGTCTGTGTGTCTGTGTGGTATGGTGTGTGTCTCTGTGTGTGTGTGTGTATGTGTTTGTGTCTCTGTGTGTGTGTCCGTGTTTGTGTTCGCTTGGTTGGTTTGACTCAGATGAATTCCCCCTGGTTGGGCTTAGCGGTTATTTGGATTTGAAGCCCTGGTGCTTTGTGGGTAAGTCGGAATTTCCTCCAAGCCACGGGCACCAAACCGCTCAAACCGCTGTCTTTGACCAATGGCAACCTCGGATAGTATATTCGTCTTCGGTTTGGCCAGAACACGTTGTGCCTGGATGTCACTTGGAATGGATAACGACTTACATTGGTCACAAAGATTTGCAAAGTCATGGAGATGGCCTTATTCAAGGGTACCACAAGGATGATTCCCTGGGCTGTTCAAAGGCAATCCTTACGCTTTGGGTTGCGCAAGGGGTCCCTTTAGTGGTCTTCCAGCAGGGATTATGGATTGGGGCTGGCCGGCCCTCCATTAAGAACAGCCGGCCCCTTAGTGGTTGATTGTGGCTTGGGGTTGGCCGGCCCTCCTTTTTGGAACAGACCCGGGCTGTGATAAGGGGGAAATCGACTTGAAAGTGACCAACTCGTCATGGGGATAACCCCACTTGGTACCACAAAACTGGTGTTTTTCCCACAAGGGTCGCTTGCCGTCTTGACATTCAAAGGGTACCACAAGTTGGTGATTCCCACAAGGGCACCACAAGGGTCGCTTCACGCCTTGACAATCGCATTCAAGGGTTATGACGAGACAAGCTCACACATTGGAGGGGTTTCAGCAGAAATCATACACAATCTCAAGCACAAATAAACTTATGTCAAGGATACTGGAGCCACAAGAGTTATCAACCAAACAAAAATATCTCATGCCCGAGTCCAGCGGAGCGCCGCTCTCTGCGCGCGCTTCCATTTCGCAGGTCTTGTTGGACGAGGTGAGCTTCAACTCGGCCCTGGCGGCCTGTGAGAAGGCGAGCGGCGCCGGAGCCACGGAGCAGTGGCCATTGCTCGCTGGGTTTTGGAGGATTCGTTGTCCGGGTCCCCCCCCAAATGGATCGATTTTCGGTGCTCCGGTTGGTTTCCCGCTAAAGCGAGAACAGGGGGGGGGGCAACAAAAAGAAACCACACTCCTATATATATGGAGGTGTGGCTTTTGTTGAGGGTATTCTTCGTTGGGGTTGGTTTGATGGGAACCACAAGGAAAGCCGCGTGCATTTGGGGAGCGGTTTTTATCAGCTTTCCTATCGATCGCTGTCTCTGTAGAAAAGGATAACCCAGATAGATCTCGCAGAAAGTATTCTTAACTGTACTTGATTAGTCGCAATTCCGCGACGAATCGTGATCCCTCCAAGTTTCATCCGAAATGGACATGACTTCATTGGTCCCATGGTATCTTGGACTTTGCAGCTTTGCAGGCATCCCAGTGGCGGGAAGCCATGGAGCTTTTCCACCTCATGCAGCGAAGTCAGGCGGGCGGGCGTTGGCCCAACTCGTCTTCGCTTGCTGTAGTGAGGCATAGATGGTTTTGCATCCCTTTCAGCAACTGACCATATCTCACGTCGCTCGCAGCAGAGACGAAGTTGTGCTGCCCAGGTTGCTCCAAGCGCAACTTGGCAGATATGGAGCTGCATACGGTCATATTAGCAAGGAACTTCGATTGCTCTCTCCCACATTGGGTCTGCAGCGCCTGGGAGCGATGGGTATGGGCACGCAAAGAAGACCATCTCAACACACTGCGCGTTGTGACTGCTGCTGCCTACTAGCACCACTGATACCACGACGCTTTAAAGTAAACACAGCAGGGACGAAAAGTATGTGCGCATGAGTGCGAAGGCAAGTAATAAGAATACCTGTTCCTCCAGCCTGAGGTTGCAAACATGGGCCAATCCCAGCCTCGGCAGAGGTTCGGCAGCGTAACAAGCTCTAACCCCATCAACCCACGCAGCGGCACCTTATTGGCAGCCCTCAACCAAGACCTGCATGTTTGTTTACGGTAAGTCAGAAGCGAGCAAGGTCTTCCAGACGCATCATGCGAAGCCCAGAAGCTCAAGAGCTGGAGACAGCAACAAATAGGAGTGACTGCGAGCAACGGCATGTATGCCATACTATTTTAGTAGCCTACTTTTGTTGGGCCATCTCGAGCAGTGAGGCACAGGCAGCCAGACAATTGGCCGTGCCCGGCCTTGTGAGGCTACTACCTACAGCTCGGCGATCAAGGCGTGTGGCAACGTGAGCCGCTGGGCAATTAGCCTAGCGCTTCTCGAGGAAATGAAGGCCTGGGCGCGCAGACAGAGGGAACTCAGTTGTTCAGTGGCACCCTTTTTCCCCTTTTTGTTTGGTGGCTGCCCCACTAAACAGGATGTTCCCCAAAAAGGGTTCGCTTTTTTCCAGGGTCACTGAACAACTGAGTGAATTATAATAGGTGTCCTTTTTGGTTGGTTTGCTTGCAACATAGAGGGCGATGCCTGCTTCAGATGGGGTTATTCCATTTACCAGGGCCATCTATTTTTCCAAAAGGCCACCTATGATATGGACTTTGAAAGATGGTTGTGATCGGTTGGGCTACTAGTAGCGTTCAGCGGAAAATTCGAGGCAAGTTGCCTTGTGAGTGCATGATTGCCCCTCTTGCAGTTTTGCAATGAGTCTTGAAACGAGCGACAAGGCCAAGTAGTCCAGTTGGCATTTTCTGTGGAGAACGTCCCACCAACCTTTTCTTCTTTGGTGAAGTTCGTCAGGACGCAGGAGTTTTGGCTGATGCCGCCTGCTACAACAGCGCCATGGGCAGTAGCTTGGCATTTTGACAGTGCGCACATTCGGGGATACATTGGGAAGCTGACCCCGCCGGCCAAGTGAGTGAACATGGTATGCGCCGATGCATGTGGCTGTGGTTATCAAAACCGTTTTGGGGTAGGTAGGTGCGCCATCCATTTTGGGCTTTATTTTTTGGTGGGGGTTGGGGTGATCACATTCCTGCATGGTTTGAATCCTGGCAACTCAGAGACGCCAGGGGAGGGCCCCGAATGTTGGATGAACACTGAACACAGGAGACAACTCCAAGGCTTCCTTATCCCAAGCAAGGCAACATCCGGACAAGTTCCAGCAAGACATTTCCATAGCCTGAGGTCAAGACGAGAGGCCCGGGAGCGTTCTGGGAGTCGAAGTCGGGGCTTGCTGGAAGGCTCAGAGCCTGCGGCTGGTTGCATAGCCTGCACGTCCCATGTGCGTGGGCTTGGCGTATTGGCTACGGCGACTGGTGAGGCATGCCAGGCATGCTTCATACCTTAGCATGTTGAGGACTTGATGCTGGAATTGCCACATTGACGCGTAGTCCGTGCTTCTTCCTGGGCGATGGGCTTACTGGTTCTGAATTCAATATTCTGCAAAAGCTAAAGAGCAGAGTTTGTTGAACAAGAAGATTCCCATCCCCGGGTGCATCGATGAAATTTCATCGGGGACATCCAAAATGGTTGGTGAAATCCCTGTGTAAATGTGTCCACTGCGGAGAGAAAGAGAGACAGAGAGAGAGGGAAGAAACAAGAGCAAGAACAGCGACAGAGAGAAAGAGAGATACAGGGAGTGCAACTAGTCTAAACAAATCCATGTACTTGTTCAGACCTTCACGTTGCTTCACACAGACAGCTGTGGCAGACGTTGCTTCAAAACTCCTGGTTGCTCCGCGTGTAGGACAGATTCATGACATGGCTGTGGGCCATCATTTCGGTTCAGCACCCAAGCAAAAGTGAACAGCGAGCAGGCTCAGCAAAAGCCACTCGCAGCTCACTTGCTACCGTAGAAACCCAGGGGCTGGGGCTGGTGGAGGGCGCTGGCGCTCTTCGCTGGTGGCTTGGCCCAAAATTTAAACGCGTCAGTGCTCCGCGGTTTTTTTTTTGGGCGGGGGGGGGGAGGGTTGGAAGGCTAAGTCCCCAAATTTTTGGGGAAGTCCCCATTTTGTGGGGCCTCCCCTCATTCTTTGGAAGGTTTGGTGGTGTTTTTCCTTCAAAGTTGGTGTTGGTGTTGCTGTTGAAGCGCTTTTCCGGCCAAGGAAAAGTGTGGGTGAGGGAAGTCGTGCGTCTGGTCACCAGAGATCCGAGCCCGGTTCGGCGGTTGTCATTGGAGAATCATATTCCAATCCCATGCACACCACCAAGGCTCTCACCGAATGGCCCGTCTGTTTTTTAGGATTTGGATCAGGTCCCCAAAATGGCTTAACGGTTTTCCGCTTGGTTTCACCTGCAAAACCAGAAAAACAAGGGCACTCTCAACTAGGGTAGTGCCCTTTTACCTTTCTTTGGGGGGATGGTTCCCCTACCAAAATGGACTACACAAAAAATATATAAATACAAAGCAAAATCAGCTCGGGTACCCTTTTTCAAACCTCTCAAGTCTGGAGGACCTCGTCAAAAAAGAACAGACTCCAAACGGGTATGTGTCAAGGGGAGGGGCCACAGAGGCGCAGCCTCGAATGCCAGGCCTCGCCGCGGGGAGCTCAGATCGCTGCTGGCTGATCTGGGCTCTTCATGGCATGGTCCGGCGGGATGCGGCTGGATGCTTTGGTTGGGTCCTTCTTTTTTTTGTGGTGCTGTTTTGTTGGTTTCCCCTTTTTTTATATTATTTTCCTTGTTTTTTTTGCGGCTCGGCCATGGCCATGCTCTAAGCTTCTGTGGCGGACTTCGCGCAGACCAAGAAGCGTGAATTGCTTCCTCTGCAAGGGGCACAAGAATTGCGAAGAAAGTTAGAACTTGTCTTGAGGTTCCCTTCAAGCTCGACCACTACAAATCCAATGATTGATTCCGATTCTTTCCAGGGATTCGTTTCACGGACCATCAAAAACCAGGCTGGAAACAGCGATCTTTTTGTTGAAAAGAACAATGGTTGAAAAGAATGGTTGAAAGCTCTCCGCAGAACCAAGAGAGTTGTTTTCCCTGTGGCGGTTTGAACCGCTAGGCGGTTTCGCTGCGCCCGAGTGCTCGGAGCGCCTTGTCTCAGGGAGCGTGAAGCTTTCGAGCCTGGGGGAGGCACGCCAGGCGGATTCCAGCTTACGGATCTTCGGGCTTTAACCTTTGCAGAAACTGAGGATTTCCTCCATTGGATCCACAAAGAGTTATATTCACTTTTTGCAGAGGGGTCAACAGAAACCAAGGTTCGACACTCCCATTTTCAGCCATCAGGAGTTGATTGATGCGGTGTCTCCCACTGTTTGCTTTCGTTTGGTAACCTGGCCGCGCCCCTCGGTGCAGGTTTGGTGGTTTGTGGGTTCCATTCACGTTTTGTATTGCAGGAGAGCGGTCCGATATATACAGAGAGCAATCGTGTTGAGCTGATGGGGCTGTTGCCGGGGAAGAATGATATGCATAAGTCGTTTGGTGGTGACACCTGAGTGACCTGGCTCAAAAAAGAACCCCGCCGGTGCAATCCATGCTTGGCCACGTGCTATGCTTTCAAGCTGCCAGGTGGTCAAGCCATGCGTGGGCAGCTGTCCATTTTTTTTTCTGGCAGCCAGACCCTGACTGTCACTAGGTCATGATTTTTTTGCAGAACGAATCTAGCGGTGAGGTTTTTTTCGTGCGCCGAGGCAAAACCACGGTCCTGTCTGCCGTGGGCGCTCCCTGGGCTTTGGCTCTGGCAATGGAGAAGGAGAGTCTGCAGAGCCACTGGGCAGTGCAGCCGCCGGCGCGTTTCAAACCCTGGGGTTTGTCCCCAGCGTTCGCCCGCGATTTGGTATTCCGTTTCAAAAGGCCTTGTAGCGTGAGTTGCTTCTCACTGGCCTGCCATGATTCATTCAGGGCGGGTGATGCGCAGTTATGTCTTCCAAACGCTTCTTGCTCTCTTCTAAAGGCAGCAGCAGCAGCAGCAGCAGCAGCAGCAACAGCTTCCAAGCATGATCCTTTTCCGAGCATCAAATTGTCTACGTAGAAAAACGCGCTGAGAGATCTATCCGACCAAAATCCTCCGGAGGCTTCAATGCTGCAATGACAGCCTGCGAGAAAGCGGGGCAGTGGCAGCAACTTGGCATTGGCAACAAGAATTCAGATTTTGCTTGCTATTTGGGTGGGTCTTGTCTTAGGGGACCCAACAATATGGTGGTGTTCCTTGTGGTTTCCCTTTAAACGCCAAGAAAAGGGAGGACCCTCAAAAAAGACAGACCCATTTGATCTTTCGCTTTCACCTTGTTAGGAAAACATCCTTTGTTGTACGAAGCCAAATGGTTGAAAATATTTGATTGGTCCCTGATTCTGCGAAAACTTGTGGCCGATTCATGCTGATCGGCATGATTGATGGGGTGGGGGGGCTCAGCATCTATTGCGACCCCGCCTGGGCACCAACAATGAAGGAAAGCCCTTGATCAAAGTAGAGACATGTTCTTTGAGCATGGCGAGCTTGACTTTGTTCAGTTTGCCGCCGCTACTTTCCGAAGCTGAGATGAAGTGCGGATGCTTTGGTTTTCGGCTGGAGACTATCGCTGCGGCCTTATGAGAGAGGAGGGTTCCTGTGACCGGCAAGGTATGCCACCTGGCTGCTGGTGGGAATGCAGCTCGTGCAGGCGAGGCCAAATGACCGGAAGCGGCTCCGCTTTGTGTACTTGCGAGCCTTGCGTCCCTCGGGCTGAGCCACGGATGTGACGCACTTGGCAAATCTTTGGTGTTTTCCCAGCCATCGGCAAGGTGCTGCCGGATGCAATTAGCACCACCGCGGCCGCAGGCGCGCCGTCACGGGATACTTTCCTTCGCAAATATGTGGCTCGTCCTTTGGGTGGGTACCCAGCAATTTGGGTTGTTGTGTTTGAAAGGAAACCAAAAGACAAATACAGTTCTACCTTCTTTTCGGGGGGCTCCCCCGAAAGTTTCTTAAGCACCCCGTGCCTTGCTTGGCTTTGAAGGGAAATCGAAAGGAAACACTTTTTTGTTTTTTTCCGGACGGTCCCCTGAAAAAGGCACACAACAATAAGTTTGTCAGAGAACGTGGCTCACCACGTTGCGACTCAGGCACAAGCCTCCGCTGGGAAGCCACACTTGTGTGGCGAGAGTGGGGCCCTCAATGGCTCAAGGGTGAGCATGGGAACCTTGCCACATGGGTTGCTAAACATGTTTCTCACTCTTGTGCTGTTTGTTTGCATTCTGGATTCGTGGTTGCTTTCGTCTTTTGTTGCTTCCCTGCATCCTTGCCTCGTCCTTCGTTGTCTCCTAGCAGCCTTAGCCTGAACCCAACACGTTCTGAGTTCTGAGGAGATGACATGCTTGGAGTCAAGAAGGATGAAGGTCAGATGTTGGGGCACCTCCGCAATGTAGAAACCCAAAGGCTGTTCCATAATGACACAATGTTGGGGTCCCTGGCAAAGTTTGGTGGGGAATCATCACTTGTGGAGGGGAACACCCTATCAATAAACTGAGGGTTCTTAACATGGGGCCAACATGACAATGTGGAGCCTGGGTGAAACTTGCAGATCAAGAGTCCTTGACCCCAGCTTCCACAAGCCTAGCTGAGTGCCATCTTGTCTCCTCTTCCCACTCGGCTCCCGCTGGTGGAAAGCCTGGGCGTCGTAGGCCGAATTTTTGTACCTAGGAACTCAGCATTGAATCCCAGGGATTGGTACCATGCCTTGGGAATCATAGTTATAGTTCATACCCATGCCAAAGAAATGTTTACCATGAATCATGGTGAAGTAGTCATGGCCTACCCTCCCCCAGACTAACATGGAAGCTTCCAGGCCAATTGGGGGAGCTTCCGGCTGTTAGCCTAATGGGTTGTTCATTAAACCACTAAAAGTTAAACTTTTAGCAGAAAAAGCAGAAAGCAACCGAGTACTTACATGGTTTTCCTCCTCCCATCCCGTGCCCTTTTCAATCTGACGCCTCGCCGGGCGCGCTCTTGGGCCCGCAGGCGGTTTCAGCTCCAGGCGCGGTTCTTTGGGCAGATGCGGGCTTCCCTTAAAGAAAAGGGATCCTCTTGAGGGTGGTTTTCCTTTGTGGCTTTCCTTATATTTAAAAGACAAAAAGAAGCCGAAACAGGGCTGCCCCCGCGTTTTGCGCATGCAGTAGTGCGGGTTTAATCTTGGTTTGACGAGTGGCGGATCTTGTTTGGGTCAAGGGGAGAGAGGCTCCTTCCATCTGAATCCGGTGGCTTCCCTTGTGACGTCTCATAGGGGGCTCCTCCTTGAATACTGGTTTTTCCTGTTGAATTTTGGCGTCCCTTGAATCCAGCCCCAAAAGGGTACCATCAAAAACAGACAGCCCCAACTTGGGGGAACCAATCTGTTTGGGGTGGTCTTCACAAGAAGCCAACACGGATCTGTATCGATGCTGTTTCGAGCTCCACCCCGCCTCCGTTTTGAAGAAGGCTTCAGGAACGCCTCCCCTCAGACAGGCCACGGGCATGGGCGTAGGACTGCCGGCCCAAAGGCGTTCTGAATGCGATGCGTTTCGGGTTCCATGACGGTTGTTTTCACTTCAGGCAAAAGCTGTCAGAGGGGCACAACAGAGTTCACAGCAGATGCTCTCTTTACATGCTTCACTGAGTGCATGCCGGAGGTGCTTTTTGCTTGGATGTTAGGACTTTTTTATTTTATTTTGCAAACTCCTGGGTTTTCCATTACACCAGTAACAAATAAACTTTTAGCAGGGGAGCAGAAAGCGTCTCCATGCCTGGCCGAATCAGCCTTTGCGAGTCTGGTGTTGCCAGGGCACTGGGACTTCCATGTTCCGAGTTGGACAGTCTTGACGTGAGAAGCTCGGTGCGAGCTGGACAAAACCCTTGGGATATGCCCAGTGGTTCACGAGCCGACCTGTTTTTTTGTTGTTTTGTTTCCTCGAGTTAGACATCAAGACTCCGATAAAAGGTCCCCAATTGATGGCAGCCTTGAAAGCCCAAGATATGCCATAGTTAAGACCTCCTAGTCAGTTAGGAAGAAAGCAGCACCGCAGGGTTCCCCCAGAGATTCCCCGCAGGAAATCCGGAACCTATTGCGCCGGCTGTCCCAGGAGGTAGATCCAAGCGCTCTCATCGCGGCATGCGGCCGGAGTTTGGGCTGGCTGGAAGCCCTCTACTTCTTGAGGCGGGGGAAGCAGAATATTTCCCGCCATGCCCAGCAGCTAGCGGAGAGGCCTTCCTTTGGAGACTTGGCAAGGTAATTAGAACTGCTCAGGAGATGCATGGCCTCATTTTTTCGGATTTTGCTCCCAACAGGACATGGGCAAAATCCTAAGGCAGGCGACGCTTCCGCTGCCATCAGATGCCCGGCTCGTGGTTCGCGTGCTTTTTTTTCTTTGCCCCCGAGGCGGCCGCGCGCAGGTGAGGCGCGGAGCGCGGTGGCACCGATGCTCCAATGTCAGCGCTGTTTGCCCACATTCGCCTGAGAAGCAACATTAGGGGTTTATCAGCTCGATGCTGCCCGGACAGGCTTCAGAGAGAAACGGTCGGGACACAATACATGTGGGGAGAACATCACGTCAAATCACGGCGGTAGATGGGAGTACCTCAATTTTGGCACACAGTGGACCCAAATGCAGGTCAAACCTGCCATACATTCAGTTCGACAATCATGTCAGATCCCCGGAGTCCGACAAAACACATTTTGCAACATACATGCCAACGATGGATGGTTGCTTTGAGAGGCCTAGAACTTCTACATGTTTGTATATGCGATTAACATGGCTTTTCTGGGATTACATGACCGGGTGCGTTAGGACAACTCTAGGCATGGAGGTGGAAGCAAAACATAGCTATGAATCCTTGCTCATTGCCATGCTCGCTGTTCAATCGGTTCACCTCAGACTGAAGTATTATCTTCGGTGCATGTTGCTTGGATGTTAGGACTTTAACTTTTGCCAACTCATGGGTTTTCTGTATTAAGCCACTAAAAGTTAAACTTTAGCAGGGGAGCAGATTTCGCAACCAAGCTATCTCGGCGTAAATTGGCAGAGCCACTGCAGCCAGATTCGACCCGAAGTCCTAGGCACCCCTAGGCACGGATTCAAAGGCTGCTTGTCGTCCATTTTTGAGCCCCTGGTATGAACCACGAGTTTCTGGGTTATAGCTTGGGAAGCCAGCCCAAGGGGTCCAAAGGGGTCCAATATGGCCATGGGTTCATATATGGACGGAAATCCAATCATCCTTTGGGGGTGGTATAGTTCGGGCCGGAACATTTCACTGACAGGCACCTCAAAAATGCAGAGGAGCCCGATTTGGATGCAGTGGAAGTCAGGCTTTGGTCCACACCCCCCGGACCCGGATCCCCGGATCAGGCGACGCTGATGGCACGGAATGCTGCGATCTCCGCAGTGGGGCCCCGGTGGCAGCTGGGGCTCTTAGGCCGGGGGGGGGGGGCAACTTGGGGTAGCTTGCCCCTCAGGGATCGGCGGGACCTTGTCAGAGTGATTCCGTCAGTTGGGGGGACAGCCGCGCTTGCCTATCTTGCGGTCAACCAGCCCTGCTACTTGGCCATTAGGTAAGGCATAGTTGCTAGAGCTCGGATATATTGCATGTTACTGATGACCAAGATGAAGCTTGCTCGGGGCAGCTGGTATGTTATTGTGCGTGCGTATTCAACATTGGGTCCCCTTCAGTTGGTCGGTGTTTGCTTCGGTTTCCCCCCAAGACAACACCGACATCATCCAACAAGGGTACGGTGGGATGATTGCGGTTAGACTGCATGTTTCCCGCACTTCTTGCACATAGCGTTGTAGGGACGGAAGAGAGGGGGCACATGGAATCTGCACCCTTGTGATGTGTGATATGACTTGCAGCAATTGTTCGGTCAGACTTTTGCTGGGTACACGCAGCGAAGTGCATGTGTGTGTGTGTGTTTGTGTGTCAGAAGGCGTCTTGTTCCTCATTTGCCTCTGCACCGCTTTATTTTTGAAAGCTAGGGCGAAAAGAATGAGGCCCGTCCGACAGTTCAATCTTGAGTCTATGTTTTGCAGAGTTTTGCATGTTTCTACGAGTGTTTCGCTTCGGGGGGGCGGGCTGCATGTGTCTTTGTTGATCACGGCTAGGTGTGCAAGAAGCACAGGGCGATGAGATCACCTTCACCGCTGCGCTCAGCGCGTGTGAGCAGGCGTGCCGCAGCGAAGGCAATTGGAGGCTTGGGGGGTGTGGGTTTGGGCATCTGAGCTTGGAGGGTTTGCTTGAATGCTGGTTCCCAGGGCAAGAGAGAGAATTATGTTGGCCATCAGATGTTGGTTCGCGGACGGTTGGTTCCCACATTGGCAAATACTCAGAATGGGGACCCCCTAAACTATCCCTCTTCATAGCCACTCTTCGCTTCGTTGGGGGGGCCTCCCTTTCTAGTGGAGACTGCTGCAGTCCGCAAATGGATTCCGACGGGCATCCGCGACCGCTTTGCGATTTGCCATTTAGTTCAGCGCAGGCTTAGGTCAGGTTACCCTCCTGTCCGACTGTCGTTGCTCTTCCAGGACCCCTCGGCCAGGTTCGATGTGAATCGGATGTCAACTCTATCTACTACTTGTGTGCAGCTGCACAATCCGCAGGGAGAGATGGAGACAGAGAGAGACTCCTGTATGATGTGGCAGGCGACCTGCCGCGGAAAGCAGCGCAGAGCGGAAAATGCGCTTTGTGGTTTCGGTCCACGATCCTCGGGCCTCGACTTGATTGGTTTGTTCGTGCAGTCTTGTCCAGACACCTTACAGTACAGGCTTGACAGGAACGGAGGGCAACGTACCTAAACCAACATCTAAAAGCAACTCTGTGAGACAGTCACTCTGAGGTACCACTTTGTAGCACTTCCTGCAGCCTTCTGCGCGGTTCAAAAGGCCGGCCGGCGCTCACAAGGAGAGCCGGAGACACCGCCATGGTCGGTTTCTGGACAACTTGGGGCACAGCCGAAGGCGGCACAGCCGGCGCTGGAGCTGGCGCTGGCGG